AAAAAAGTCAATGTATGTTCATTAATTTTATTAACAATTGTATAATGCATACCTGCATTCGGGATAAAAATTCTAATTCAATAATTGGTTTTATTTCTGATGATGTCTTCAATGGTCTTCTGTTTGTGCAAGTGCTGCAAGCAGCAACACATTTTGCTACCAATGGTCGTGGAATCCAGCTATACTGTTTACAAATCTGGAAAAGAATGTTAACATTTTAAGCAATAATGCATATCGTGTTCATAATTAACTTACGCATTAATGAGTTTTTCTATAACCAGCATGCTGTAATTCCTCATGCAACCCTCCAATCACACATACAAGCGTTCTCTAACACAGACAAGCTTCTCCGATTTTTTCTCAATTAAATGATTTGACTCTCCGATTCTCATGATTGCAAAATGCTTCATAACCCAATTTTTCAAATTTTTTGGATGTTGATTATCAGCAACCAGCACATCTATCGCAACATTGGCAAGCTCCTGTGAAATCAATGCCTTTTCCCGAAATTTGAGTTCTAAGTCGTTGAGATATTCCTCAACCAATGTGTTGAATTTCTCAATACTCATAAAAGCGAATGCGTTTACAGACATTTTTAAGTAAATTTTTCAGTATAATCGATTGGTATTGATAAGTAAGTTGATATCGATACTTATTAAAGCAAATTTTAGAAAGAATTTTATTGATGAGATCAATTACGCGTCTGAGGCGCGTTACAAGTTATCATTTTTATTTCGGTGTTTACGTAATAGTTTTAACGCTATTTGAGAAGATTAGGTGATAGATTTAGGGGGGGGGTTGACAAAATCAACCAATGACAATCAACCTGGTTCAGATCGGGCTGATAACAGATCGGGCCAGAACATGGATAAGAATTATTAATTTAGGGCTGTTTGTTCTATTGACTACTTGTTTCTTTGCTAATAATTTTTCAAGATAACTTGGCAGTCATATCCGTTCACGGGTTGTCTTCTTGCTGTAACAAGCGTACAGCTTATCAATGTACTATTGGCACCAATAGTTGTATCTCAGCGCCGCTGCTGTTATTCGTTATTTTGGCGCTACACGTTATCCAAATTTATCTTCTTATTTATAATATCAATTGTAACAACTACTTTATCTGTTGTCCCCAACTCACTTCTAAGATGCATGTATCAATATAGACCGTCGAAACCATAAACAACACAACCACCATGAACGACAGGTATTGCAACTGGTACTGCAACATAAATAGGCAGTCACTTGATTACGTCGGCAATTACTTCTCGCAAGTTACATTTCAATTAAAGTAAATTTGTTATCGAAAAGTCGTCGAGCTGAACCGATTCTCTATTTTTTAACAAACTTTTGCTATGTTAACTATAAGAAAAATTATAATAGTAACCATTATTTTATTTTGTAATGCATAATATGCACAAAACTTTAGTCATTTGTTGGATTTATTTCTAACAGAAATATGCAAAATGAATAAGCTAGTACAAGTTTTGTTCTTTGAGCTCGCTTTTAGAACGCAACTTTTCCTTTCACCAAATGTAACTGTTTTACACACGATCTCTAGGTGTATTATATAAACTTATAACAAAATTTATGTAGGCGTACAACAAGATTCGCCGTTTGAAGTGAGATAATTGAATAAAATAACTCATGTTAAGTAATAAACAATAGTCTTTTAAGAGGACGACTTGGCGGTGATTATCTTTAAAAATATCTCGCAAAGCAAAAGTACAAGACAAATAAAAACCTCTTTGATACAAGCACGGATAAAGGTGTCGTAACAATGGTGACTGTCTTTCTGTATTTATTGTTTTATTCTTTCGTCACCAACTTAGTCATTAACTTATGCACGGCGAATTAATGCGCATTGAACTCGTTAATTTTTACCTGTACTAAGTGTTTTCTCGTCGTTTATTTCAAATGACGCTCTTGGTAAGTTTTATTTCTATCATGTCCAAAATGTAAAACGTACATGCAAAGTCTCTTTCTCTTTTCGTAGAATTTGTCGATCCTCCACGCCCAGTGTATTCATATGACAGTTTTCTTAATCTAAGACCATATAAGCCGTTCATTTCTCGCGGAAAAAGCCTTTCTCTAACATTATTATTATAGCTAAAACGAGATCTGACCGTCTTAAAGAAGACTATAAGGTAAACAAATTGTTGAAGATAAGTGTTATGAAAGCCTTATTCGCATCATGACTTTAAGTAATGAATCTGTAAGCTAATTATATGATATCACTTGGATGCTCAATCTATCGAGAGTTGGAATCCAACTTTAACTTTGAATATTTAGATTCTATTCACCATCATTTTAATAAAACTTTCATGCGCTGTGTCCACAATGGTCTTTTATACGTACATGGTGTACTAAATGGAACATGCTTATGAACTGTGCCAATCATTGATTCTTTACATTCAACTATACACAGTAGAGTTGACGTCACAATAAAATGTAAAACTATACAAAAAGCAACCGAATATTTATCTATTTCATGGAAATTAAAATGTTTAGACGCTGTCGGTTCCTAATAATAAGAATACCTTTTTTTCTTTTCAAGTATGAATGTTGAGTCTTTTTATTTTATACAAACCTTTTCCCCCGATTTTTGCTTATTATTTGCGTATCAGTCTCAGCCGAGCATTACATATTCCGCATTTCGTTTCTTACTCCCCCGAATACATGAAAGCCCGGCGTTTCCGGTACTTGCCGGATTCAGCCATCATATTATTATGATTGTTACATCAGTTTCTTAATCGAGATGTTGAATCTGGGGATAGTAGATTTTTTTTTCCTTTTTCAATTGATTGACCGGTGTATTACCAGTCCGGGATAACGTCATCCGATATATTTCTTACTAATATCCTCCCCTCACATCCCACAGAATCTTTGTCTCCATTTTCACATCGATGGCCACCAACATCACTTGGCATGAAGGTGCAGTATCACGCAACGAGCGCGAACAATTACTAGGTCAAAAAGGCCTCACTATCTGGTTCACTGGGCTGTCTGGATCTGGAAAATCAACACTCGCAAGTGCATTGGAACAGCACCTTTTGCATCTAGATGTGACCAGCTATCGACTCGATGGTGATAACGTTCGTTTCGGTCTCAATAAAGATCTTGGGTTTGGTCCTAAAGATAGAACAGAGAACATTCGCAGGATTGCAGAGGTAGGAAGCGTTGATGCTTGATTGTGCGGGTTGATGGAACAATCGTCGAAACGTTGGGTGTAAGAGCTCTAATTATTGACTATCGTTACGGGGAGGATTCCCTATCATTACTAATTCTTATTATTATCGATGCTTACGATTCCTAGGTTGCAAAATTGTTCGCAGATGCAACGATAATCGCTTTAACATCGTTCATATCGCCATATCAAGCGGACAGAGATGCTGCTAGAAAATTGCACGAGGATAGCGGGATTCCGTTTGTTGAAGTAAGGTCTATTGTGCACTGTCGGAAAATAATGACTAGCGTTTATTTAAAGTTTTGAATTTAGGTATATGTCGATGCGCCATTAGATGTGGCTGAACAGCGCGATCCAAAAGGACTTTATAAGAGGGCAAGAGCTGGCGAAATCAAAGAGTTCACTGGCATCTCTGCACCATACGAAGCTCCACCAAATCCCGAACTACACATTAGAACAGATCAAACGAGTATAGAGGGAGGTGTCAAGGTAAGTCAAGTCAGTTGTATAACTCGGTCGTATAACTTGTGATATCAGATAATTACGTCCGATATTAACAATCCTCTATTGTAGATTATCGTTGATTATCTGAAAGAGAGAGGGTTCCTAGTCCCTAAAACGTTAATAAATTGATCTTGCATAAATCGATAAGAATTTCTATAAATAAAACAATATCGATTCAATGATAATTTAATCTCGAATAAAGCCACAGTTGTACTAACAATATCCAATGTGTGTTAAATTCCAGAATTAGTAAATTTGCCCCCACAATTTTCGCTGCATCAACTTTGCGAGAAATAGGTGATTAGTGGTAGTACAAAATCTGTGTTAAAATGGGCTTGTTTAACGAACGGTCGTTATACCTTTTGATTCAAACGTTTTCAATTGTGAATCCAATCTTTCCTCGAACCTTTACTGTTCTATCGCTCGCATACAAACTTTAAAAATGGAAACCTCCAACATTTCACTTTCCGTCGAACACAATGCTATTTATTGCCAGCCTCACCACCTCGAAACTTGTACGGCTTGCGACCTCGACTTGTCACCAGTCAACAAATTGACAATGGAACTATACTCGATTAATGGAGACGTACCACCTCCCAACTACGCGAGCGAACAATTATCTAGAGAAATAATACATTATAAAAATGAGGGAGACGCTCACTATAAGAAAAAGAGCTACAGCGAAGCCATAAAACTGTATTCGCGAGCAATCGAGTTGGCCTTTACCAGACCGGTATGGGAATCTAGCATGCGAAATAGGGAAGAGCTAGCAATTTGTCTCAGTAACAGAGCAGCAGCCTACATGGCTATCGATGCTTGGGTGGACGCTTACGTAGATGCGGATGCCGTTCTACAGTTGAAGAATCAGTGGACAAAGGGTCATCTTCGGAAAGGGAGAGCCTTAATGGGTTTGAAACGGTTTGATGAAGCTGTTGAAGCGTTCAGAGTAGGGTTGACGTACGATCCTGAAAACAAGGAATTGCAGACGTGGTTGGCTGATGCCAAGGCAAAGGCTATTTTGGGTTAAAAGTTTATCATTTCGTACATTTAGTCCGTAGTCGTTCGGAAACCCCTGCTGTGTATCACGTGTTGATTAAAAATAAATATTAATATTAATATTAATGTTCATAAATACTTAAATACAACGTACGACAATTTTTATTTTTCATGATCATATCATATGTCGATCAGTCACGGGCTTACGAAGGACAGATTTTTGTTGATCACATGTCAATAATTTTGTAAGTCCGTTTCCCAGCTATTTCTCCACACACCGCCAACTTTACTCATTGTTATCGTGCTTCCTTCCAAAATGGACTTTCTTCACGCGGTTCAGTTAACCCCTAAAGATGCGGAAATTAGTTCAATACTTTCAGAGCGCGGCAGTACAGATCCCGGAGAGGAATCACTAGCGGAAGACACTGATATGTCCCTGCAGATATCGGACTTTCCTAATCAAATTAGTCGATTCATAGAAAATCAGGATGATAATGGGTTAGAATACATACCTTACGAGGAATTTAGTGGGGTGGAATTGATTAGTAAGGGAGAAAGCGGATGCGCATCAAAGGCTATTTGGAAGAAAAAACACGATGAAGTTGCATTCGTGGTCGCTTTGAAGAAGATTTATTCATACGATAGCGGGGGAGGTGCTGTCACCGGAGTGTTGAAAGAGGTAAGGCGAAAGTATTGCAGATGTGCTTTATTTACAAGTACTCTAGCCCGAATTAATTGCGTCCGGGTCGATAATGATCAATTTTTTCCCCCCTAGCTCGAAGCATACAAGTACATAATGGCAGCAGGAAACACGCCCGTACCCCCGATTCTCAAATACTACGGTCTTTCCCAAGACCCTGCAACATCAGAGCCACTGATTGTACAAGAATATGCTAATTATGGCAATTTATGGACATACTTACAACGACACTTTGATCAACTCACATGGCCATCAAGGGTCAAGCATCTCCAACGCATAACTGAATGTCTGAAAGCAATACACGAATTGGGTCTTGTACATGGAAACTTGCATAGCGGTAATATTCTTGTCCATAAGAACAGTACATACATTGCTGATCTCGGTGCCGGTAAAGACGATGACGTGATTTATGGGGTCCTGCCTTATGTCGCTCCCGAGATATTTATGAACGGAACATATAGCATGGCGACAGATTTGTATTGTTTTGGTGTTATTATGTGGGAACTGGCCACCGGAGAAAGACCGATGGCAGACCGACCTCACGATATCGAATTGGCCCATGATATATGTAATGGATTACGGCCGGCAATACCTGATCATGTGCCCGCTTGCTATGCAGACTTGATGATGCAATGTTGGGACAGCGATCCTAACAACAGACCCATCGCTGCTTCCGCGTACAATACACTGAGTTCCTGGATAGCGGATGGAAACGAGATTGAAGAATTGAAGGTTGCCGAAGAGAAAAAGCCGACCAGCAGGAAAGAACCAAAAACTATTCATCCCGAAGCCGTTTACGTGAGCAAATCGCTTAATTCTTTGATTATATTAACAAGTCAAAGGTACAATTTGGATCCAGTGTCGCGGCTTGGTGAAATTGAGGCGGAGGTGAGAGCTGACGATGAACACAAGCATAATTTGGATCAGGAGTTGCAAATTAATATTGAACCTGCCGATGAACACAAGTAATAAATGACAAATGTTTGGTTGAAAACTTACTCGCTTGCTATACAAAACGCTTGATTAATACGGGATCAGCGTTAACAGTGCTGAAATGCAACATAGATTTGGGGGAGGGGAGGCAAAGAATCAATTGTTTTCGATAACCTTTTATTTATTGGTCTGATATAATGTTTGTCTGTAGAGTATCACCTAAATTAATAACATTAAAAAGAAAGGTTTTCGTTATATTGATTTTCAAATATGTGACTTTTTTTTTCATTTATTGAATTCCATGTTGTATTCTGTTCTCGCTGGCAGGTGTCTTGTGATCGGCTGGGTTGGCAGATGCTTCGTATATTGTTATTATGGGATCTCGCCTGACCTAGAGGGTGTGAAATGGGAAGCGTTAGCACAAACTGTACTGTATCGTTAGACGACACTATTGACGAATACATACTGCCATCCATTCACCCTTGAATCCTAGGAAGGATATTCTGGTCAGGTCATCACCATAATTATCGGGAATGAATAATGTCAGATTGCGCACGTTATACATTTTCGTCATCCTAATAAGAGATTATTATACTATTAATGGTTGCGATAACGTAGAACGCAACGTTTGTCGAGTCAATTACTTTGTTTGATATTCGACTAGTTCGCCAGTTTGTACCAAATCCCATTCTTGCGTCGGAGTTATTCTCTCCACGGTACTAAAGTCAATATCGTCCCGATTGATAAAACTGAACAAGAATGGAAAGGCAGTCATTTCAGTTAATAATTGTGATCCGAACAATATTTTTCAACAAGTTTGAACGTCAGCTGATACTTGCGCTTTCAATTTTGCCGGACAGCTATCTCCGGGTCCACCTTTGATTAGAATTGACTTTAGTTTGACGCTGCCAGTGAATCTATACATAACACGCATAGTGAGTTCAAAACCGGTAACAAACTCAGCCAAAGGATTCTCTCATACTTACGGTATGAAAAAGATTAGTTGTTCGTCAGCATCGCTCTCTACGTACTGATACAAATCGAATTGAGATTGCTTCTCGCGCATTTACATTGCAGTTCAAACATATCGAAATGCTGTGACCCCAAACCTTTGTTGTATCATTTCGTTCGTGCCATGGCTTTATAACCTTCTTCCCTGCACCTGGTTCGCTCTCATTTAAGCATCGTACGTTCTCTTGATTAATCTGAGAAAATAGTGATTCTTCAGCACCTCTATCAGGACCATCGTGGTCATGGTCGTGGTCGTGGTCACCGTGGCTATGTCCATGGCCGTGACCGTCTGATTCATTTTCGTCTCGACATTGACTCATACTTTCTTATTCTGTGTAGGAAGTTGTGCAAGACGGAGATATGTATAATAGTAATAGCCAATAAGGGAGATAATCTTACTAAAATCAGTTAGACAATATTAGAAAATTTGAAGATCGTTATTAATATGTTTTAGATAATATGTTTTAAACATAAACATATTTCTCTAAATAAAAGATTCATCTGTTGAGGTATCTTTATAATAGACGAATGTAAAACTGATGGAATATTTGGACGATCTAATCTCATTAAATACAAATTACACGTAATAACTAACTGGAAGCCATTACTATACGTGGTCACGTTGTTGATGATGCAAAACCAGCTTTCGATAACTGTATCATAATCTTTATCAAAGAAAAGTCTTGCAAATTGTATGTTCAACCCATAAATTTGGAGCTTACAAATCTATAACCCCGAAGAATTAAAGCGTTCGATATTATTGTCCAGCATGTCGCGTCTCACATTCACTCATTTCATTGTCGTAAAACCGTACGAAGCAATTTTGTCAGTATTATTTTGTCATTCGGGTCTAACATGATAATAACTTTATTTCAGGCCATATCCGATAATTTTCGCATAAGTATTTAATTTAGATCGTTCAGAGACAAAACTGGAAACTACTTAACACTCTCCACGACGAAGAAAGGGCTTGGAGCGTAATCAGGCATTGCTGCTCAAGAGGCAATTATCGCAATCATAAAATAAAGCTCAGTCTAAATTAAAATTATATGCTGGCTTGTCCGCAGTAAATTTTCACATGAGCCATCAAAGGACAACTTTTATCACTCAACAACGGCACGGTTTAACGGGTATTAATTCTGTAGTTATATATTCAGACTATTCCACATGCACGCAACCGTCGCCTTGCCACAAGTCACGAATAAAGTCTCCAAATATTCTGTTACTCCTTATATATTCTCTATTTTTCTATCTACAATTTTTATAAATTGCTTGATAAATTTAAGCCCAGACCATTCGATGGCTATTCTAGAATTTTTAGAATGTCTTTGTGTATGTAAACTTTGCAAATCTAGCTAATGTACTTGAAAATTACTATCTATTTATATTTAGTCTCGGATATTGTCATAATGCTGAGTAAAATACCATTCGTACATATTAATATACTTGTTCGGCATTTCGAATGCTCTTGTTATACAACGTAGATAGACGTTATGCTCATTTTAAAAAAGACATTTGCACATTGCATTTATCTCAAAATTTTGTAATGATGGCACGTTAAATTATAGTTTCAAACACATATTGCGCCAGACAAGTTATGTTTAGGTGTAAAAATCTCGAGTACATTGTATGTTAATACAGTTGATTGCCTCGCTGATCAATTAATAAATCGTAAAAAAAGTTGGGTGAGGAGCTTTTTTTTTTTTTAATATTAGCCGTATTTACTAAGTAAACAAAAAAACTTATATGTCTTGACTGTATTTTTTGAATAAGTTGCTCATAAATTTAAGCAAGCTGTTTCAATAGAACTGTTATCTGAACACGATCCAGTAGTCGACTATAACCTTCCTCGTTATTACAGTATTATGAAGATAGGTCAATGCCTTTACCTACTTTTATTCGCGCACGTGAATATACGAACCGATTCTTTGAGAACAGCTTAACTGGAAATACAAAGATTTGTCACCCGGTTTGCGACAAGATAAGTTAATACCCTCAGCGCTTACAATGGATTGGAAGTGCGTAAAAATTTGGGAAATCTCCATTATTATTTATACATACTACATTATTGCAATTTAAATGCTTGTTCGTCAGTTATGTATGCTAAATTTTGGATAACTTAATAAATGAGCATAGTTGTACACTTTACCTTACCATAAATCACCGGATTTTTTGTCACGTGTTTGAAAATAGATATGAAATTTTTGTAGTTGACAATTTTCAAACTTATTAACCATCGATACAAATTCTCCATGATAAACTACTGCTTTTATTGTTGCATACATA